CACGACGCGTCACGGCGAGGCGGGGCGGGGCGGGGCTGGGGGACAAAGACAGGCTGGGTGACCTGGGAAGGGTCAGGCAGCCAGGTAACGTCCTTCCCTCGTATCCTCCCACACAGACGTCACACACAGACAGGCGCACACCCACAAACACACGGATCGCTCGCTACAAATCCCGGGCCAGGAAGGAGTACAAACAGCATAAGAGGTGTGAATAACTTGAACGGCCCGGATTTGGATGGCGAGTGGAATTTGATAATGATTGATCTCGAGCTGTCAGCCCGCGCGTGAAAAGGAAAATAATTTCACTCTCTCTCTCTTTCTCCTTGGAGATTCCTCCACATGCTTTATCAATCTGGACTGCGCGCGGAAGAAGGAAGGGCTGGCCGGGCTTTTTCAACAGTCAACACACACATAAACATCCATCCACGTCGATTTATTTTGCGATTACGCTCCATTATTGGCGCTCCATTGTCGCCGCGGATTGCGCGAGGGAAAGTTATTGATCGGGGATTGATAAGCGCTCGCAGCGCCGTTTGTGTCAACCGATAATTCGGCAGATCGTAAAGCAGCACTAACGGAGGAAGGCATTTCCCAGAGACGCGGTCCCAATTAAACGGATTGGCGATGGGGCGCGATAAGGCTTCCTTTCCTGGTCCACTTTGTGACTTTGGGGCTCTACCTGCTGCGCTGCCTGGCGCTGCCTGGCGCTGCCTTACCGTCGCGCTGGAATCCCGATGGACCGGACCAATCGGACCAATGGCACCGTCCGTCCGTCTGGTCGTCGCTGCCGCCGTGCTGCCGTCCGAGCTAACTGCTTTGATGGCCAGGGCAAGAGGCTGCAAGAGCCTCGAGGCCTTTGCATACACGCGGCCAGCGCGGCCGGCTCGGTGTCCCTCGGTTTGTCTCTGGAGCACTATTTGTCAAGTTGATGAGCCGTCTGACGTCGCCAGGCATCGCCTGGCACGGCCGAGGAGGGATCAAGCGAGTGACGTGTCGATGACTTCACCTGGGGTCATTCTTTAGTCGTTTTTGCCAGACTTATAAATGAAGAGCGTGACCTTTGTTCGCGCCGGAGGAGCCCGAAAAAAAAGGCAAGCACAAACCGCCGTTCCTGTTTGGGAAAGTCTCTGATTAATCGTACTTTTATAAGGAAGATGCTCTATAAAGGACGATCTCAGCCGGCGAACTTCATAAAAGTTGTTGCAACCCTTTTGTGTGCGTCGTATGAAAATGAGCTCCGCGAGGGTAGGCTTTATTAATGTGTTTTGTCAACCGCTTAAATGAGGCAAAACGCCGGATGCCTCGGCCTCGGCCGTGATATCATTTTTGAAGCCTCTTGAGAGGGACTTCACCTCGAGGGTGCGTAGGTATAGAGAAGGGTCTCTGAGGGTCGCCCCGAGATATGTATCTATGTCGAAGGCGTGGCCGAGCCGTGATCAAGTTGTGTTTTCGCTTTTAATGAATTTTAAGGCCCTTCCTGGAAAAGTTTTGGTGCGGCCTCCGTCGACAGATATTGCGGACTGCTCTGCTCTGCCTCTGGCTGCCCTGAGTCGTCCGACCCGCATTATGTAGTCAATGTGTGGCATTTCTCGGAGGTCGACACATAAAACGGAGTGCGCGTTCGGAATGCCCGTGAGAGTGCAGGAACTGGCCGAGTTCCTTTTTGGACGCTGCCCCCGAGTCTTATTTGGAACAAAAAAAAGGGAGTTAAAAATTTCTCGCATGGTGCAGTGCAGTCCGACTTGTATCAAGGGTAATGCCCACTTTTTTTCTCCCTAAGCTGACTCGCGAATTAACTACCGAGTATGTTGCTGTTCTTCTGTTTTTTTGTGTGTTTTTTTTCGCCCCGCGCGTCGGCGTCGTTGGTGCCGTTGGCGCGGGGCCACGCGATGGACTGCCGGCGGACTCTTTTTAAAGAGGCGCAGCTGTTTGAAGTAACATTAGAGCGTCCAACGGCGTGCGTAATCGGGATCAAACAAGGAACGCTGCGCGGACTGGGCAGACTCTGGTTTGACACAATTCAGGTAGCACATGACTAATGAGTTCTCTGGTGCTGTGCGCTTTGTGGACCCGGGTCACACTCAGTCAGGCCGTCCGTCCGTCCGTCCCGCTGCGGTCTTACCGTTCCACGATCAATCTGCAGTCAGACGCCTGCAGTCGCTGCAGACACAGCTCTTAGCGCGCACAACCGCAGCGCTTTTCAGGCCGTCCGGACCAGATTCGACTAACAGGGCGACGTGTGTGCCGCGCAGACTGCAGTCTGCAGACCTCCCCGGAGATGGCACTCTTTCATTAATCACCCCGAAGGAGATCACCCTGGCTGGCTGCCCTGGCTGCCCTGGCACTTTCCCACCCTGCGACACTTCCTTTGATGCGCTGCGCGCGGTGCCGGCGTGCCCTGGCGTGCCGCGCCACAACAAACACTCGTTTCGGGGAACGCGCTCGCGAACCGTGTTTGCGTTTTCACTTATCGCTTTGACGCACACTGGTCATCAATTACTGACTGCATTCAACAAAATTCAGAGCAAAACGTTCTAAGCAGTCATTTTTTCCCCAACGTTTCTTTTGTTGATATTTTTAGCGGATGGCCAGCTGTAGCTTTAGAACAGTCCAAAAAAAGTGAAATACTATGTGGATTGCCGTTTCTTTTTGGTATGACATCCCTCTGCAGGGAGACGCATCCTGAAGAAGGACAAGCGCGTGTTGCCTACCTCCACCGTACACTCACACACACACACACGCTCGGCCCACATCCGCCCGGGGATGATCCTGGTGACGATCCCCGGCGACGCCCTGCAGTCCTGACTAATGGTGGATGGCCCGGGTCTATTAATAATGTCGCGCGTTTTTCCCCCGTCCGTCTGAGCGTCTTGACGCAGGCTTGACGGGGATGCAACGGCCGAGCGGCTATCGGTGACGCACAGTGCGCACTTGAATCGGGGGCCTCGCAGTGTGTGCAATCAGGGAAAGCGGCCCAACTGGGCGACTCGGTGACTCAGAGTGGCGCCCTTTCTCGGCCCGTCTGAGAATGCCGTCAGCGCGAAGCAACGCGAAGCAAGGCGAAGTGAGGCGAAGCAGTGCGCCCGTTTGGCGACGCGGCCTGCCCGGAGCCGTGCCGCCTCTAGCCGCCCAGCCGCTCGGCGCCCCAGTGGCGGCTCAGAAAAAATAAGCCACTAATTAATACTTGCTCGTCTTTGCCGCGGGCTGAAAAACAACTGTAGCATGCGAGCCGGGCCGGGCCGGGAGTAGCCGGGCCGGGGGAGGCGGTCCGCCGCGCCGTGCCGCGCCGTGCCGCGCCGCTCCGGGGTGTTGGTAACCTAGTGACTTTTGACATGGCCCGTAAAAGCAGCGGAACGCGGTGGCGGCGTGTCGTTTGGAGGAATTCCTGTCCGCTTGGATGGCTCTTCTGACCTTCGGCCGAACCGCGCCACCGGATGAAATCTCGCGCCGAAAAAAAAAAACGGAGTAATGCTCGCTCTTGTCTCGGAAAATAATAATTTCTCTTTGTGCGCGATCCGAGCCGGTGACGCGCCATTCACACGCATCCTTCACACGTCGCGCGTGACAACACGCACACACACACACACATGCGCGATCGAAAAAAGGAGCGCGGTGATGCTGCAAGACAAGTGTCGGACAAGTTGGAAGGGCTCACTGACGGCCCCGCCCTGCAGGCAGACTGCCTGCTGCACTTGCCGTGACGACGCGACGCGGCGACACGTTGTGGTGACATGTCGCTGTCAAATCGCGCCTTTGTGTCCAGGACGACGCCGCGGACAAAAAGGCGCGAGAGTCCTTGGAGGATCCCGACGACACCTCCGCGTCGGCCGCGTCGCCGCGCCGCTACTGGCGGGACGCACTGTCGTTCTGATGATGATGGAGCGGAGCGCGGGGCGGCGACAGAGACAGACTCGAAAACACACGGGAAAATTCTGCCGCTCACTAATTAGGCGTGTTTGCGACTGGCGACGGGTGGGCGGGGCGGGGCGGCCCGCGGGGGTAGCTCCGCGTAGCCCCGCACATTCCGGCCACACGTCGTGGCGGGCCCCCCGGGGCCCCGAGGCTACGCACTGTGATATATTTGCAAGTTCGACCGCGGGGCGCGGAGGGCTGCCGCTCTTGGAGGGGCATGGCGCCAGCCAATCTTGATGGACCGAGGTGACCCCGCGGTGGCGGTCTGGGGGATGGTTCCTTTGCTGCCCACGCGCGTTGAGGTTCCCACAGTGTGGCTGCGTGGCGTGGCGAGTGGCGCGCCCTGCGCGGCGCCCTTGCTCACTGCACCCATAAGGCGCGGCTCGCGTGGCTCGCGGTGAAACTGGCCTGCTTGTTGACGGGCACGTGACGTGTGTCGCGGCTGTCGCGCTGTCGGGGTGAAACTTGGGGGCGCCGCCCGGCCGCGCGTTTCGGAGGCGCCCTGGTTTTGAAACTCGGCCTTCGGCACCTTGGGCCGGAGCGGGCCGGAGCGAAGGTCTAATTATCTCGGCCAACAGAGCGCTGTGTGCCCAGCAGCGTACTGCACCTTAAAGTGGAAGAGCCTCACGCACACAGCGACACCAAACTGGGCGTGTTTGGGTAAACAATTTCGGAGTCTCGCTCGCCGGGGACGCGGCGAACAGCGAAACCTGTCCGACAGTCATTGTCGTTGGTGCAAATGGACGACAGCCACACCCCTCGAGTCTATGAGTGTGTGTGCGTGTGTGCTCGCGAGCGAGCGCTTGTTGGTGTGGTGTGTGTGTGTGTGTGTGTGTGTGTGCGTCCTCGTACGTGCGCCAGCGTATAATGGGCCGCTGTTTGAAATAGTATTTGAGCGAGGTGACCTCACATGTGGCTCAAACACACACGAGGAGAGCACACTGCGCGTCGACTGCCTCTCCGCCTGGGTGGCGCCGCGACCGACCGGGAACGGCACTCGGTGCCGATGTGTTGTGACCGCAGTAAAGGCCCGGCCTCGGCCCGGCCCGATAACGCGCCTTCTAAACGCCCCTGTCTTTGTGTTCCAGATGAACCAGCAGTGCAAAGTGTGCGGCGAGCCGGCGGCGGGCTTCCACTTCGGCGCTTTCACCTGCGAGGGCTGCAAGGTTGGTTCAAATAGTTTACTACTACTGGGCTGTAAACAAACAAAAAATAAGGGAAACGGAAACGGGCGAGTTAAGTCGTTTTGAGCGTGTTGGCGGGTCGGTGTGAATCGCTTCTATGACGCGCATGTGAGTCGGCCTGGACGCGTTTGGGAGCAAGCGCCTTACGTGTGTTTTTTATTGCGTAGAACGGGAACACCTGGGAAATACTTGTGCGATGTTGGCCCATCGAATAGGGGGACTCATCTTTTATTAAAAAGATGGCGACGAAAGGTGGGGTCCGCCAGATGTTGGTCAGCGTCGCGGTGTGTGGGGGAAGGGGGCGCGGGGGATCGTCTCGAATCAATGAAACCCCGAGGCAATTAGTACAGAGTTATGAGTCCGAGGCGAACTGTAACCCTCACTCGGCCAACCAAAAACAGGATTTCGCAACAACAAAAAAAAGTTTTGAAGTGAAACCTTGGTGCGAAAGATGGTTTATCGCCGCAGCGCTTCGCTTTGCTTCGCTTTGCACTCATGCCGATTCCGACAGTCCGCTCGTGCGCCCCGGCCGGCCGGACCCCGTATATCTTGGCCATCTCCTCGGCGCATTGCGAGGCGTTGCGGGCGGTGCAGGCACGCTGTGCAGCCGGCCATCGCCTCGACACAATTGGAACGCCGCGGCCGATTGATCTCGCGCTCCTAATTACTCGGCTAAAGTGGGCAAAACGCGTCACGCGGCCAGCGCTGCGGCTGACCCGCGCGGCCCGCTGTTGTTGCTGCTGCTGCCGCCGCCGTTTTGCTTCATTAGCCAGTACAGCGCTTCGCCAGCTTCGCAGTGCTGCATTCCGCGCCAAGTGCAGAGTGGGCCTGCAAATTGGCGCTGGGCCGCGCTGCTGGGCCGTGTTTAGTCTTTTGTTTGCGCGGGAAAAAGGATTTAAATTCGATTTTATTTTTCCTCTTCGACGCTGGGTCGTGCCGCTGCTCGGTGCCGCGCGCCACACCTCGCACTTTGCAAATCAGCTGGCCGGCTGGCTGCTGGCTGGCTGGCTGGCTGGCCGGCTGGCCGGCCGGCCCTTTCAGCCTGACCTTTCAGCCCGTCAGTAGCGGCGAGCGCGCGGTGCAGGAATCCGCGACCCGCGGTGGTGATCCGCGTGGAATATCGATGGATCGATGCGCGGCCATTCGCATTTGTTTGGTCGGGCACGGCACGGCACGGCGCGGCGCGGCGCGGCGCTGGCGACCGTACCTCACCGAGAGCAGCGCCTGGCCGCGCCGAAGATCTGCCGCTGAGATGGCCAACAAGTGTGAAAGGACGGCGAGAGGGTCTCACGTGCTGCTTGCATGAACACGGCGTGGAACTGGAGGAGGAGGAGGAATTAAAAGCAAGTCCCCGCCGCGGTCGTGCAAAATATCGGTGCAAGATCACTAATCTGCGATTCACCCGCCTCGCGCGCCGGCTTATTATCTCCTCGTTTTTCGCCGCCTTTTTTGGCGGGTTTATTTGTCCGCTCGTCGCCGTGCTTCGCTGCTTCGCTTCGCACACTCCACGGCGGCCATCTGCTCGGAATGAATTTGTCATCGCGATGCTTGATGACTCGTCGGGCCGGCCGGTCCACAGGCTGGCCTGCTGGACGTTTACCGTAACGCGCACCGAGAGAGCGGCCGTGCGAGAGAGAAGGAGAGACGCAGCAGCCCTCCTGATTTATCGATCGATTGTTTAATTGATCTATTGTTTAATTGGGCAATAAAAACGCTGGCCGGGTGCACGCGCGCTCTCTCTTGCACGCACGCACACATGCTTCGCGACACGACGCAGGTTTGTCCTGCCTGCTGCCTCGCGGCCTGCAGGGCCTGGAAGGCCTGGACCGGAATCGAATGCGCTGGGGCTTCCGGGAGCGGCTCGGCGGGGTCCGGCAGTCTCGGCGTGCGTGAGGTCCTCCGGGGCACGGCGTCGTGGCGCACGGCCGCGCACGGCGCTCGCGTCCCGGGGCCCAGGCGGGAGTGGGTGGCGGCCTGGTGGCCTGGCGGTGTGGCGGCGCACTCTCGCATGCGGAATTGAGCCGTATGTCGCCGCGTCGTTCGCCGACATTTTTACGGCGAAAACGGAATCGCGCCGAGATGGGTGTGATTTGATTTACCGCCCGGCCGGCACTAGGACTGACTGACACGCTCGCGGTGACGCTGCGACAAGCGCTGCGACCGCCATGGGCGTGTGGCCGCGGTGTGGGCATGCTGGTCTGGGCCGGGCCTGGCCGGGCCCTGCCGTTGTGCGTTTACGATCACTCTAATGCGAGTGAGTGCGGGTCGCGGCGGTAACCATGGTAACGGTGCTGAGCGGGGGAAAAAGTGTCGCTGGAGTGAACGGGGCGGTCGGCGGTCCTCGGCACTTCCGTCGTGTGGGGCGCGCGGCTTTACGACGCGCACGGCAGATGGCACTCGGTGGGCGCGAACGCGGAGCGCGAGGCGGTGGCAGTTGGGCGCGCGAAAGTGCGGGGTAGCGCCGCGTGCCGCGGGGCGGAGTATCGCCGTGCGGCGCACCGTGGGAACGTGCCGGCGAGGAGGCCGCCGAGCCTGCGATGCCTCTGTGTCAATCACTGCGTTGTGCGCTGCGTTACGCCCTGGACGCCCTGGAAGCCCTGGATGCCCTGCGAGCGGCCCGCCACGGCCAGCCCGGCCAGCCCGGCAGCAACTGACCTTTGAGGGGAAACATCCTCGGGTCCAATATGGGACGCCGCCGTCCGAAGTACGGAGTACGAAGTACGTGCTCTACGCATGCATAATTGACCATCGCGTGTGTTGGCGTGCCGTGCCGGAGTGTCGAGTTTTAGCCGCGGCCGATATATACTGGTGGCGCGATGGATGCGCGCCGTCGTCCGGGCTGCCCTCGTGCTGCTCGCGTCGAGGCTGCCACGGCGTGCCGCGGCCCCGGCCGCCAGGCCGATGCCTTATTCGCCGGTATCTGCTCCAGATGATCGCGCGTCGCCTGCACTGCAAGCCGGCCGTCCAAGGTGCGGGGGGAGGCGAGTTGGCCGCGCTCTGGATGGCGCCGTCGCCTCGGTCGCCGCGCGTGCCAGCGACGCCTTGGCTGCGCCTCGGCTGCCTTGGCCTTGCCCGCGTCGCCAGCCGCCACTCGGCGGTCGCGGCGTCGCGGCGTCGCGGAAGGGGAAGGAAGCGTTTCCGAACGGCAGCGTTCGAACGCTGCGCGATGTATGATGCGACGCGACACGGGGTGCTCAAGTCGGTAGCGCATGAGACAGCAGGGCGCACTTTGCTGGAAACGGCCAACGGGCGTTGTGTCGCGGGCAGCGGGCAGGGCGGCCAGGCCCCCCGCGGGGCTGCGCGAAGGGAGGGAAGGGAGGGGGGTCGCCGCTGCGGGTCGCTGGCTGCACAGCACAGCCCGGTCGGCCGGTCCGCGCGATATACCACACACGTTGCAGCGCTGCAGCGTTCCCCATTAACGTTTATGCAAGTAGTGGAGGAGGAGAGGCGGTGTGGTGGCGCGGCGAGGCGCTCTCCTCAAATACCAGGGTTCGGACACACACGCTCGCACTCACACACTCACGCCTCAGTGGCCTATCGCTGCAACATGGTGTCCCTAGAGTATCCATTTCACATCTGCTGATACGGATGTCCCGGGAGATACAGCGGCGCGGCACGCGAGACCCTTCTCCAGGCCGTGGCCAGGCCGTGGCCTTTGCCGAAGTTTGTCCCGCGCAGGCGGCTTGGCGCCAAAACGAGTCCGGTGCGCGCGCAGCACGCGGTGGGTGTTTATGGCCCGGGCGTGTAAATCAGAGTTTTAGCGGGAATGTGGCTGCGCTGGCTGCGCCGGCTGGAAGGCGCTGGAAGGCGCTGGAAGGCGCTGGAAGTGCCGCGGGTAATGGTGGCTCGCCTATTGAAAGCCTCTCCTGACTTACGATACGAGTGTGCTTTGTGGTCCGGGGTCGCGGCCAGCCTGGCGTGGCCTGGCGTAGCCTCGCGTGGGGTCTGACGGCCTCACTGACCCCGCGCGGCACGGGCCGCCTGCCCGGGTAGGCAACCCTAGGCAGCGCCACGCTCGCCTGCCGGCCGCGCTGCCTACGCTGCAGGCTGACTGCCCTGCCGTCGCTCGCGCGCCGGGCGAGCGGGTATCGACTTGCCTGGGAGAAAAATGGACCGAGGAACTGGGACTAATAACGTGGAAAATGAGCGATCCGTCTTGGCGGCCTGCAGGGGGTCCCGGCGGTCCAGGGCCTTGGCCAGGGCCGCCTGGAAGAAATCCGGCGCCCCGTTAATGGTTTCAATTAAAAGGCACGCGGCGAGGTGGCCGTCCCTCACTCCTGGGTGTGGAGCGAGACGCGCTCGGCGGCGACCTGGCGGCGACCTGGCGGTGACCTGGCTGGCCGACCTGCCGACCCACACGGCGGGCACGGCGGGGATTCCGAGACTCTGGATTTACTGCGACCGGAGAAAGCGATGGCGTCGCGCTGGGACGCGGCCCAGCCTAGCCAGCCTAGCCCGTGCGAGGGCCTGGACTGGGCCAGGCGGTGGGAGGATGTGGCCTCTGTGATGGCGAGCTTATCAGACTTCTCACGGCGTGCCTTCCTTCTGTTGCAGTCGTTCTTCGGCCGGACGTACAACAACCTGGGCTCCATCACCGAGTGCAAGAACCAAGGGTCGTGCGTCATCAACAAGAAGAACCGCACGTCGTGCAAGGCGTGCCGGCTGCGCAAGTGCCTGCTGGTGGGCATGTCCAAGAGCGGCTCGCGGTACGGCCGCAGGTCCAACTGGTTCAAGATCCACTGCCTGCTGCAGCAGCAGAGCCAGAACCAGGGCGCCACCCCCAGCCCCACGTCGCCGTTCTACCCCGGGGCCTTCCTGCACAGCCCGTTCCTGGGCGCCGGGCAGCCCGGCCAGCTCGGGGACTTTGGCCACCACCACCCCGCCCTGGGGCTGCACGCCGACCACGTCAAGGAGGAGCAGGCCCGCAGCGAGCGCGTCGAACGCAGCGAGCGGTCCGAGCGGTCCGCCAGCTCGCACTCGGAGTACAGCTCGTCGGGCGAGAATGACCACGACTCGAGCAGGTCGCCGAACACCTTCATCCGGCCGCCCTCCTCGCACCAGACGCCGTCGCCCTTCAGCGAGCCCGAGCTCCTCAGCGCGCGGGCCAAGTTCGTGTCCGAGGCCATGAGGTCGCCGACGCCGCCCCCCATGAGCTACACGACGCCGCCACCCCTGCCCGGCGCCGTCGCCTCCCCCAGGGTCCTGTTCCCGCCGCTGCCCATGGTCCCCGGCGTTGCGAGGCCCGGGCTGGCGCCCACCCTCATGTTCCTCGACCCCAGCTGCCCACCCCGCGCCGGCGGCGACCTGGCGCTGGCTAGCCCCGCCCTGGGAGGCGTCGCGGAGGACCAGGACCAGCCCATGGACCTGTCCGTCAAGGGCACCACCCTCTCCGCGAGAACGTCGCCGTCCCCCGCCCACTCCCCCGCCAAGCTGCCATCAGAGCACGGCGACGAGGGCACCAAAGACACCAAGGAGTGCGTGCTGGACCTCACGAGCAAGCGTGGCTGCGAAGTTCCTCAATCCGGCTAACTGTAGGATTTAGGTTTAGTGATGCGGTGCGGCTTTTATTAATTGTATTTCGCCACCGCTGTTTAAATTTAAATTAGATGAAATTTGAAGTTTTACTCTGTGAATTTTTGTGGAGACGTGTCGCGATGCACTTTGTGTGAAGTGGCTTGTTTAGTTCGTTCTATTCAATTTGAGTTGTACTAATGCAACGATGTTTCTTTAAGTTATTTTTACTTTTGTCGCGTTAAACGTAAGACACCATGGTGATAGCACGCACTTTTGTGTTGTGTGGCTGAAAATTAGTTGTAGGACGTCTTGGTGTTAATGTATACCAATGATAAAAAAAGTGATTTAAGAAAAAACTAGTTTAAATGGGCGTATTGTATCCTTTATAGTGTATTATTTATTTCCAGAGTTTTATTATAATTGTGCTTCAACTACTTTTCGTCTAAAACACAATTGTTTAAAACAAAATGTTTTAGTTGGAATGTTTGTATGCACAGGTTCAGCCCAACGAAGTCATAAATACTATTTTTATATTATGATATTATTTGTACACAGTAAAATATCTGAAATGATCGATGTTGATATAAATTGTGTGTCATAGTAAGCTATTTGTACATATACAATTGTTTGATTATTGTACATAGTTCAAAGACGTTCGTGTTTCACTATTATGGCACACATTATGTTTGTACATTTGTTGTGTTTGAGCATGAGTAAACGGAACCAATGAGTACAAAACTGAACCCGTTTTAATTACTTTATTTCTCGTAAACCACCAGTTGAAAAAAAAAAAAAAAAAAAGGAAATGGTTGGTGCCCATAGCGCACGCAGCGTGCACATCAAAAGGCGCCCCTTTACGGCAGTCGGCCGGGCAATAATTCAGCGACGCGAAAATGGTAACAGAAACGTAAGCAAGGCGATCCATACATCATCCCATTTGCGTCTCATTACGCGATGTAAGTCCCATTAATAATTACTCGAGGAAAAGCCTCTCTGCGGGTGAAATATGGCCGCCGCGAACCCGTTCCGCTGCCGGGGCGCGGGGCGCGGGGCGAGGGGCGCGGCGTCAAATGTCACGCCGACGGAAAGGTGCGAACACTTTGGCACTTTTCGCCTCGCTTTTCGCGTTTCGACGCCAGGGGGAGATTGCCGCGCCAATTAGCGTCAGCACATTGCGGGACGTTGGGCACACTGGAAGAAAGAAAGGAGGGAACACGTTCGGAATGGCGCAAAAGTCAAATCGTCTATATTCGATCAACCCGCTAACATTGGAATTGACAAGAATGTTCACCCTCGCCTTGTTCCGTCTCAAGTTAGTCTCTCAAACCTGGCACGCAAGATATTGAACCAAAATTCTTTTGTTACGTTCTTTTTTTCTTTCTACATTTTGATAAACTTAGTAGCCACTGGCAAAAAATGAGTGCGGGTAACTAAGCTACCTACGTATACCCACTCCGAAAAGCACGCTTGAGAGCACGCTCCTCAGAAGAATGATGTCATCGTTATGCCTCCTGATCAAGGCGAATTAGCAAATCCCAAAACTTTCTGCGAGTTGAAGGCATTCCCCATAGTGTATGAGACGAGTCAGCACTGGGGTGTGGGGGTGAGGGGAGGAGGCGCCGTTCAAAAGCCGCGCGTCAGTGCCGTTGGACAAATGGCGCAGGCGGGACGCGAACCCGCGACCTTCCCGGTGCACGCCACAAACACGTCGTCGGGGTCATCCACCTCGGCGGGCCGGCAGGCCGCTGGTGCCAGCAGGCTGGTGCCGCGCCGGCCACTCGGCCAGGCCTTCCTGGGGACGGATGGGGCTGGGTAGGCAGACTGTAGGCAAGGCTGGGTGGTGTGGACGGAGCGGCGCGGAGCGGTACCGGCCAACCTGTACCCGCGCGGGGCGTCGCGGGGCGTCGCGGGGCCGCGGCGCCCCGTCCCGGACCGGCCGACACGTATAAAATTAGTTTTCCTAATAATTGCCGTTGTGAGTGCACTCGCTAATCCAAGAGGTCAAGCCACACTCAAGCACACTCACGCACACGCACGCACATACACTCACGCGCACGGGGAGGAGGCTGGCCCAATATCCAGCGATTGATACCGAGTGTGATTTATGCTTTGTCGTAAACTCTGTACGCGTCCCAGAATGCGTTGCCTGCGCGCCGCATGCGCGCTGCGCCCCACACTAGAGCCACTCTGTGGCGTAACAAGTCCGACGAGAGCAACAATGTTCGGCGTGCTTCATTTTCAGCTAATTAGGTATTCAAATGGCCCGGAAGGGCAGGGCACTGCAGGGCACTCTGCAATTAACGCTTCGCTTGTCGTGCCTCTGCGTCTCCCTGTCTCCGAGGCTGCCGAGGCAGAGGCTGCTTTGCGTGGCTTGGCCTGCCAGCGAGCCGTTGGTGCCACGGCACTGCCACGGCCGATCGGTGCCCATTGTCCCAATTCGCCAATCCGTCCCATGGAATGCCAATGCCGGACGATGCCGGGCCACATTCGTACTTCGAGATGCTATCGCTCGGCGCGCGCATCGCAATAACTTTCTGATTGATCCACGTGACAAGAGGGCGCTGGCGTCGTTAGAACAGGGGCGGGGCGGGGCGGGCGGCGTGCGCAGCATCAAGTCCATTCTATTCAAATAGCCGAGCATTCCTCGCGCGGCCCGGGAGCAGGCCGGCAGAGGGGCGGCGAGGGGCGGCGAGGGGCGGCGCGGCGGCGCGGACTGTCCTGGGCGCGGCAGACGCGGGCTGACGGCCGGGGTTCCCGCGGGGACGCCACTGGGGTTGCCAGTCAGACGTAAGGTCGCAGGGCTCGGGTGCCGAGTGGGTCATCCAAGCTCAGGGTTACAAAAAATCGAAAGGCGTAAAAAAGAGTCGAGTTTTCCAGTGGTCCAAAGACCAAAACTGCAAAAGTTTGCATTTCTTTCCGAAAAGTTGGGCGCGGCCAGCTACCAGAGCCAGGATCCAAGCCCCGAGCTGTTGTGCGGCTGAGTTTGGGAAAGAGGAGGATTTTGGAGAAAATCGATTTGGATCAGGATTCGAGACGGTGTCAATATGGAGATGCCGGGATTGGGCAACAGGCATGGTGTCGCCGGGATATGGCCCAGCCGGGATTACGGCGGCCGGCAGGGCCAGCGCGGAGTACACTGCCGGACGGATTAGCATTTCGATAGAAAATGAGATTAGAATAAAGGCGAGCCTGGCTGCCGGCGGCCCCGGCCGGTACTCCCCGCGACGGCGACGCGCAGCCAGCAAGGCAGCCAGCAAGGCAGCCACGAAGCCACGCACGTGCGTCGTCCCTCCTTCTTCTTTTCCTGCCAGAGAAATTTGTCCGACCGTTTATACGGCGCGGCGCAGCGCGGAGTCTCGTCGCCAACTTGCCACCGTGCCACTTGCCATGCGATGTCGTGACACTCTGTCGGGGACCTCCTCGACTGCCTGCATCTGCCACCGCGGCGCGGCACGGCACGGCGCGGCACGCCGAGGCAGTGGCTCCATCTGCAGGTGGCGTGGCGTTGCCATGGCGTTGCAGTGCGGCCCCGCTGCCGCTGCTTGAGTTTGTCGCGCACGCGGTACGCGGTACGTGGTGCGCGGCTAGAGGGGCCCGCTAGGCCGGACGCCCCGTCGATAGCCTCGCCGTCAACCCCGCGGTGCGCGGCCGCCCCGCCGCCGTCCATCGCCGCCGCCGTCGACGACGTCGCGGAAAAACGCCGCGGCCGGCCGGGCCGCGGGCCGCAGTTGCGTGGCTTTGTGGCTCAGAGGAATGCCCGTGCCGGCCAGGCGGGGCGGGGCGGGGCGGGGCGGACTGGCGGGGCGGCCGCTCCAGACAGGTGTCTCTCGCATCGTGCGCGGCCACCGCTGCTGCCCGTCAGACCGGGTCAACGCGCACGCTCGCGCGGCGGGGCGTGGCGGGGCGTGGCGGGGCGTGGCGGGGCGTGGCGGGGCGTGCCGAGGGTGGGGACGCGATTGTCCCGTCAGGACGTCCCTTGCACTCCAAACGGTGCAGCGGGCCGTCCTTCCCGGGGCGCTTCGGCCTGCGTTTGGCGCCACCCTCTGCGGCCGCCGCGGAGCCTATCAGTCAAAGGACCCGTCGCCTTTATGGCTCGGACACTTAACCGGCGCCGTAATGGAGGCCCGCGCCGCGCCGGGGTCGCCGCCGACGCCATGTAGAGGACGCGCACACCGCCGAGGTCGCCGCGTCGCGGTTCCTCACTGCACCGCCCAAATGTCAAGCCCCGTGATGACGAAATAAATAAATGTGTCATGCCGTCCGGTTGGGCCTGCCTCGCCCCGCCGCGGCCCGCCGCGCCCCGCCGCAAGGCGTGTGCAGTGCCGCGGGCAGGTCTCCGCTCCGCCGCCGCGCCCCAGCCCCACACGGTGACGGTGCAGCAGCGCGTTCCTCATCGCAAACAGCAATTAATAATCGCGCAGCGCCAACAAGACGAACGGCCTCAAATTATAGCCGCGATATTGCCCCGCACGGCCTCACGGCGCCTCACGGCCGACCCGGCCGATCGGAGACAATCGATTTGCGAGGCGCCACGCAGGAATGCCTCCCCCCGCCCGAACGGCCGAACGTCTGCTGGAAATCCGGCCGGCATTGCGACGCGCCGAAGTACCGAATCGCGGCAATCTGGTGGGAACCGCGGAACGACGACGCCTTGATGCGATTCACTTTCGGGCCGTGATTTCTTTTTAATCCGCCCGCGTCGCGGCGCGTCGCGCAAGCCGAGTGTTTGACGCGCCCGGGGCCAAGGAGGGGCGCGACGGGCAGAGAGGGGGAAGGGGGGAAGGGGCGGGGGAATGCCTCGACGTGCAGCCTTCCTTCCGGAGCAACAGTCCGCCCCGGGCTCAGCGATCTGCTCTGGACTCCGCCCTTATTAAATTAAGCGAATCACGTTTCTGGAGCGCCAGCACATCATTCATTCATTTATTCATTTGGTCGTTCGTTGGGTTAGGTTAGGCAAGGTTTCGTCGTCGTTCAGTTGTTGGGTGGTTCACGCATTCATTCATTCATTCATTCATTCATTCATTCATTCATTCATTCATTCATTCATTCATTCATTCATTCATTCATTCATTCATTCATTCATTATTCAATTATTCATTATTTTGTTTATTTGTTAATCCATTCATTCTTGTTCATTCGTTTGATCGATAATATTGTGACACTGTTCCTCCTTTGTGCGCGCGTGTGTGTGGGAGTGAGAAAAAAACGGAGCCAGTGAGGCCGTGGCTGGCCGTGGCTGGCCGGGGCTGGCCGTGGTCCGCGGCGCGCCGGCGGCGTTCACGAAATGGGTTTGGCGACAACCGACGGCGGCCGGCGAGTGGCGGCGAGTGGCGCCCCTCCCTCGCCTTAATTTACGGCGTGCTGCTCCCCGCGGCACTTGTCGGCCTGCACTAGATACCAGCACCGCGCCAGCACGCCGATCCCTACAGTGCTGTCGTCGCTCCGTCTCCCTCGCACTCATGCTGGGTGCCCCGTAGGCGTGCGAGAGAGACAGAGAAGAGCGATAAAGGACTGTGTTCGGAACCACGCTGCCAGCACCAGCAGCGCCAGCGGCCCGGAAGTCACCTTTGGTCACGCCGGCCGCATTGCCCGTTCGAAACTCAGTGTTTCTATTATCTCTGTTCATTATTTCTGTTGGGTAGATCGACTGCGCGAGGGGTAGGTCAACGAATACGGGCACGAACAGAATTTTTCGGAAGAATATTTCCATATTCATCTCTACCCGAGGTGTGTCACCTGATAC